AGTCCTAAAGACTTAAGATGCTTAAAATTAGGGTTTCTTGCACCCCTCGTGCGCCCAACGTACGAGGCCGAGGCTTCGTGATCCTTCTCATTTGGTACGCTAAGTGTACACGAGTATACACCCTGTGTACTACACCTCATAGTAGTACCCACCGCGTACTCCCTTTGTACGCCCCGTGTACTAGGGTTTCCCCTTAAACCCTAAAATACTCTGAATGTCATAACTTCTTCGTTATAGATCCGATTCCCACAATCCTTATATCCATGAAAGGTAAAGAGAAGCTCTACTTATTTATCAACCCATGGCTGCCATAAAATTTCCCGAACAAAATCCAATTCCCATAAAAGCCCGAGCTGATATATTACCAAAATACCCTTTGGCTCCAAAATACAAACCGAACACCCGAATCATCTAAATTACATCATACACCTCCAAATGAGTCCAGATCTTAATTCCTCAAGGGTCCTAAATATGCTAATACCCAATCATTGATCACCACCCTAAAATGGGAAACGATTCAGAACAGGGCGTTACACCACTTTTGGTTAATTAACTTTGCATTGCTTTCTTTCTTAAAATTTACTTCCTCCACCAACCCTTCAACTATTTCGTATTGCTTATCAAAGCTAGGGACAACATAAGAATTCTTTTTAAGTTCAACACCCTTATCCTTTTCATTGGAGCTGTTTATTTCAAGATGCAATTCTTCCTTATCTAATCCATTTCATGCTCATATTTAAAACTAGATTGGGATTCTTAACTGCTACCATCTTCCTGAGAAATGTCATTATGTGATAAAAAAGGAATCCAGTTTGATGATTCAATAAGAGAAACCACATAGGAAGCCCTTTCAATATGCACTTTAATATTCTTATTTAATTTTTCCATATGCTTAATTTTTATACATACTTGTCCTACTCTTGCCGGAGCATTATTATTATTATTATCATCATCATCATCATCATCATCATCATCATCATCATCAAACTCATTGCATTTGGCAACAATTTTTTTAAACACATCAGGAGTCCACACACACAAAGGAAGCCCAAACACATATACAATATCCATCCTTAGAGCTTTTGCTCCTTCTTTGAACTTACTCTCACCTAAATCTTCAACATAAGATCTTGTTGTAGTTTTTTCCTTTCTCTTATAAGTTCATGCCTACTTCCTATCCTACTGCCCCCATTCGAGAGAGTCACATTGTCCTTTTTATTTTCTTCACTTCTGTTACATTTTTCCCGAGGCACATAGAGATGATAATTCCTGATTCAGACTCGATTCAAATCTTTAACTACATTAGCATAATCTTTTGACTCCGAGAATCTAATAAAAGCAAATCTTCAACCTATTTTAGATAGTTTATGTGCAATATAGACATCGCCTGGTGCACTATGGCATGCACAAGATTCCATAACTCAGTCAGACCTATCTTAATCAATAACTATCAAACAATGTTCGTATGCTTTACATAATAGCATTTGTTATTTATACGCTCTACTTTATGTCAATTTGGTAAGTACGTAAAACGATTATATATCTATTTTTCAAAAGCATTTCTTGTAACAAATACAAAATAAAGAAAAACTAGATAAATTATAACGATTTAAAAAAAACTGTTCGTCGGTCATCATAAATAACTTCTAGAACTAAAAGGTGCAAAATAAGTTTTATTTTTCTTTGTAGGGTTTAAATATATTAGGCGTAATAGGTGAAGCTCATACCAAATTATAGCCAATTAAATTTCATATGCGATTTCGATTTGGTTATTGTTTAGAAAAAAAATTATATAATGAACCTAAATTTATCTTTTTATTATATATTGATTTATGAAAATCTAATAGTTTACCAAAGCATATAAAAAGAAAATTGCGCCTTGTGGAAGGCCATAGTCACCGGCGGTCCGGCGGAGTTTTGACGTTTAACGCCGTCTCCACCGTCTTTGACGGAGTCTCAACCTTGACCTGTCTTTCAAGCCTACGTGCCCTCTTTTTAACGGTAGTCTTATCCTTCTCATTGTTTCTTCTTTCTTCTTTCCTCTTTTCATTATTTCATAATTATTTTGTCTTTGACTTTGTAGTCTCTTGTAATAAATATTATTTTATTCATAGTATTATTAATAGAATTTTTAACTTAACATATATTTTCTTAAAAGATTTCAATCTTCTATTAATATAAAAAAGATATTGTTGGTAAGAAATTTTAAGCTAACAACGTTTACAATCTTACCTTCATTTCGATTCAAGATCTTACCTTTTTAGTTGAATAGTTGAATGAAACTAAGCAAAAAGTAAATTATTTCAAGATGATTACATACTGAACATACCATTTCAATACATTATATATCATAATATTCAAACAATAACTAGATAAGGACCACCAATAAATGACCTGGAATTATTTTTAGAGTACTTTACAAATCTTGGCTCTATGCTTCACCTAAAAGAGATTAACAGTGTGTTTGACACTGAATCTTTGGAAGCTTTTAACTACTAACGTTCCGTTTTGAATAAAAAATGTTGTTTGACACTACAAACTTTTAGTTTTTACTATAAACAAAATACTTCAAATCTAAAAACTATCTCACATAGTGTTTAACAAAATACTATCAGCTACCCACCACAAGCTAGTTTTGCCGAACACCCCTAAAATTGTAAGTTCATTATGAATTTTTAAATTTTCTACATATTGCCCTTTTAAGTCTTGTATTTAGTTGTGGGATATGGTCTTTGACTCGTATAAAATGTCTTTAAATTTGGATTGATTTTGCGTTTTTGAGTAAAATGCAAAGCTCGATGTCCTGGTGGTCTCAACAAGGAAAAAAAGAAGGCGATAAAGGTGATCGTTTATGCAACTATTTGGGTTCTGTGAAGGTATCAGAATGAAATTGTCTTCATGCCAATCCATTCCTCGAGCAAGTTACCAATAGGATACAACACTACTTTCCATATGTATAACATTCAACTTGCTTCATTAGTGTCTGGTGAAAATAAAAAATGTTTACATCGGTGATATTTCAATCTGTATATTTAAAGTTATGCAAATCCTTGCAACATTTAATTTAGTTTAAAATTGTCCTTATTCGGCTCTAAACTTGCATCAACTTTATCGATCACCTCTACCACATAGATGTCATGTCGTCATGTGTGACATATAAGTATTGTGACTTGGTAGGAAGGTTTTTTCAATAACCAACGAAATATTATTATTAAATGTAGAACGTTAGATCATGTGCAACGATCAAAAAGTATAGTAAAAAAAAATCATAAACGGATTTGAGTATTGTTTGTGAGCAATTGATCATGATGTAGATAGTGAATGATAAAATATTACAATAAATAACAAAATGCTAAGGAATGAAATTCTTAATCACATTCTTTCATTAACTATGTCTACATGATGAAGCTCACGTGTATATGATCTAACCCTAATCATTATGTATACAAATGGAGAGAATATGTTCTACATTCAAATGAAATATTCTAACCTAATAGAACGCTTCATTGTAGAGCATGTCCTAGCTTTAACAATCTCCCCCTAAGTTTTTGGAAATGATGACGTGTATAAACATGATGATAAAATATAAATATTGAACAACCAATTACCAAGTTAGGTGGTGAAAAGGATATTGTAATGATGATCGAATGCTAAAATATATCTAAAGATCTTCTCCATAATATCATAACACCTCAAATATTCTCCAAAAGAACACATGCTACAAGTATGAATACCCAAAAGCTTCCCGTGAATGGTTAGAAGAAATATCACCAAATAATCTGTATATGGGAACTGAAGTTTGCCAAAAAGAAGAAGGGGATTCAAACTTCAATCAAAACTATTATTACCATGGCTTCTGTTTAACTTATCATGTATTCATGTAGATGCTATACTATAAGATTAAGTAGAAGTGTTCAACTATGAAATAATCTTCTTTTCCTAGATTTATTCAACCATCTAAACTCTGGAAAATCACCAAAATAATTAGTGATGTAAAAAGTCGGATCAATAGACCAAAATTTTGTGATGTATTGCCTAACAAACTATTTGGTTTCTGATGCTCGTAATCATAGTCTACTTTTTATCGAAAAGACAATAAGATAAAAACAATAATCTAATTAAGTAAGCAAAAAACTATCGGATAAAATAATGTTGTGCAATTGCAATCTCTCTTTTCACATGTAAAACTTCTCATTTGAACGGAATCTAACAACTATGTCATCAAAGAATTCCTTTTTCTTTGATTGTTTCTTCTTACACGTAATTTTATTAGGATACCATCCAAATCGTCGTAGTAAGAATCAACACAATCTCCGTCATGCAATGAAAGAAATTTAAACATTTTTAATAATTACTTCTCAAATGTTAATTTAGCTATAATTTATCTTTAACGAATTAAATAATGTATGATTTTGAAAAATGGCCAAGGTTTTCTTTTCTGATAATTACAACTTGTCTAACGTAAAAAATGAAAACATTACCATTATAACTTTATAATAAAATTTTAGAATAATATTTAACTGTTTTCAAGAAATTAAAGAATTGTAAGAAATAATTTATGTCGATAAACTCATTTCAAAGCTTACCAAAAAATTCATGTATTAATTGTTGCCCATTTCATGCAACACGATCTTTAAATCTTTACCTACTTTCATAATAATAATAAAGAAAAATAAAAGAAAACAAGAAAAAAGAAAAAAGAAAAAAGAAAAAGCTTTGAGTGTTCAGAAGATCGTAGTCGACTTACATGATAAAGAAAAACAAATGGGGAAAAAGCCATGACTCTTTACTTCTGCAAATAACCTTTCTTTAATTGTCAAAAATTATCTCTTTCTCTCTCAGTCTTCACGCGGATTCTCACTACCAAATAAATCCCATCTTCAACAACGAAATTTGATTAATTCTTTACAAATTCAACAAAAACCCATCAAGAAAAACCATTTCTTTATCGATATACAACCAAAACCCACCAAGTTGTGTAGCAGTAGAGTTTACAGAAAATGGCGTCAGCTGCCATTTTTTCATCTTTGCGGCGGAGCAGGTCGCCGACGTTAGACGCGTTCTTGGCGCCGGTGGATCTAGAGAACGACGTCGTGGGTTTGTTAAAAACCCTAACCAGCATCGCATCTGACCTCATCTCGTCATTCTCTGACAAGACGCCGCCATTTCAAAAGAAGAATTCCAGATCTTTGATCCGGAAAATTGAATTGTTTGTCGTGTTGTTGGATTCCGTTCGTGAGTCAGGTGAGTGGTGGTCGAATCTGCCTTCAACGGTGGTTCTATGCTTTAAGGAGTTGTACCTTCTGCTGTACAGGTCCAAAATCCTCCTTGATTACTGCACCCAGTCGAGTAAGTTATGGCTGTTGCTTCAAAACCCTTCAATTTCCGGTCATTTTCATGATCTTAATCAAGAAATCTCCACGCTTTTAGATGTTTTCCCGATGAATAAATTGAATTGTTTGATTAGCGATGACGTTAAAGAACAGATAAACTTACTACAAAAGCAATCCAGACGGAACAAATTGTTCATAGATAAACACGTTGAATCATTACGATTGAAGTTCTTCAAGCTACTAAACGAAATCGGAACCGGAAACATCCCAAATTCGGAAGAATTCCATGATTTTTTCGTTACAAAATTGGGGATCCTTGACGCTAGGGCTTGCCGGGTTGAAATTGAGTTTCTCGAGGAACAAATTGTGAACCACGGGAGCGATCTTGAGCCCTCAGCTTCCATCCTCGGTGGGGTTATCGCCATGATTAGATACTGTAGATTCTTGTTATTTGGATTCGAAGAAGACGAAGTGGAAATTTCACACAGATTCAGAAGAGGGAAGAAAAGAGGATTAATCTCAAAACAAATCGCCGATACGTTTATAACAATCCCAAAAGATTTTTGTTGTCCAATTTCGTTAGATTTGATGATGGATCCTGTTATCATATCAACCGGCCAGACTTTCGATCGAGCTTCAATTTCAAGATGGATCGAAGAAGGTCACAGCAACTGCCCCAAAACCGGTCAAACTCTCGTCCATAAAAAACTTGTACCAAATCGAGCTCTTAGAAATCTAATCATGCAATGGTGCACTGCTCACAAGATCCCATATAGTCCTCCTGAAAGCTCTGATCTCGCCGGAGAATCTTTTCCGGCAGCTCCGGCAAGCCGTCCGGCGGTGGAAGCCAATAAAGCCACCGTCCGGCTCCTGATTCGGGAGCTGGAAAACGGTTCCGATTCCGGTAAAGCAATCGCCGCCCGTGAAATCCGGTTTCTTGCAAAAACCGGGAGAGAAAACCGGGGATTCATAGCGGAATCCGGCGTGATTCCACATCTGAAAATTCTTCTTTCATCAGAAAGTGCAGTGGCACAAGAAAACGCAGTGACTGCAATGTTGAATCTTTCAATTTATGATAAAAATAAGAGCCGAATCATGGATGAATCTGGTTGTTTGAGATCAATCGTGGCGGTTTTAAAATCCGGCCACACAATTGAATCCCGGGAAAACGCCGCCGCCACTTTATTCAGCCTTTCCGCCGTCCACGATTACAAAAAACTCATCGCCGGTGAAGCCGGAGCTTTACAGACACTCGCCGGAATGTTACTTTCCGGTACACCTAGAGGGCGGAAAGACGCCGTCACTGCCTTGTTCAATTTGTCGACCCACACCGCAAACTGTGTGAAAATGATCGAATTTGGGGTGGTGAAATCGTTAGTCCAGGCGTTGGAATGTGACGGGGTGGCGGAGGAGGCTGCCGGAGCGTTAGCGTTGATAGTCCGGCAACCAGTAGGAGCGGAGGCGGTCGGCCACGAGGAGGCGGCGGTTGTCGGTTTGATCGGAATGATGAGGTGTGGGACACCGAGAGGAAAGGAGAACGCGGTAGCGGCGTTGCTTGAGCTTTGCCGGAGTGGTGGTGCCGCCACCACCGAACGGGTGGTGAGAACTCCGGCGTTGGCGAGTTTGATTCAGAGTTTGTTGTTTACTGGGACTAAGCGGGCCCGGAGGAAGGCGGCATCACTTGCTCGGGTGTTTCAAAGGTGTCATTATGATACTTTACATTTTAGCGGGTTGCGGTTTGGGTATGGGTTCGCCGGAAACTCAACCACCGGAATGGAATCGGGTTTTCCGGCGGAAACAGTTTCCGTGACATTGTCGATGCCGATGTCGGTTTCGGTTTCGTAGTTTGATAATTTGATCTCAAATATTCATTGTTTTGTTATCATATATACTTGTTATTTGTTACTTCAAAAATTCATTCATTTAATATTGCTTATCGAGTGATGTTGAAGTTGTACTTTATGCCTTAAAAGTTGTACGTTATCCAGTAAAACTTGTACCTTGCTCTTTCAATACCACAAAACAATGGCACTTTCTTAAAAGTTGATCCCTTCTACTGCTAACTTGTACCTTATATATATATATATATATATATATATATATATATATATATATATGTATGTATATATATATTATATATATATATATATATATATATATATATATATATATATATATATTAAAAGTTGTAAATTAAACGTCAGCAATATCTTTAATTAAGTTAATTTGTGCATTAAAAGTTGTACATTTCAAGAATTGCATTGCATAGTGTGTCATGCACTAAAAGTTGCATGTTACTCGAATTCGGCAATTACGTTATTAATGGGAAGCGAAATGAGTTATGGGTTTTTACTGTACAAATTTTTATGCATGCCATACATTGCAATCAATCCATATTTGACTTTCTATAATCCATATTTGACTTTCTATAGGGAGTGGATGACGAAAAAGTCATGAACTTTGAATGATGGGGGAACAAGCACCAGTTGCCTCTTTGTGTGGCCTAAATTCATTGAAATTGGAAACAACACTAAGTGGTTGTGCATCACTTGTTATGATCTTGGCCATGTTGCATTTTGCTTTTGTCGCCACTCAAAATGTTATGTAAGATCTTAAAATGACACAACTTGATGAAATATTTTTAGAGTGATACATATATTTTTTGGATACATTTGTTTTTATGATGAAAATAATTGGACTTAATATAAATGCCCACAATTTGAATAAGTTGATTCCTTTGATATTTTTGTTCTTTTAGACGAGTCATTTTGGTTCGGTCCAATTCATTTATTAAAGATAGAGTTGCACAAAAAGACTGGATCTGAAAAAACTGAGACTGAATCGGTCCAAAACGAGACACGACCAAAAAAAGACTAGCTCGAGATCATTTTGAGACCGGTCCCGAAACCAGAGACTAGTGGTTTCCGACACTAGATCGGTCCAAAACCGGTCTAAAAAAGACTTGATAACCAAAGTTTATAAACATATCATTTTTATTTTAATTACACATGATCTAACTTTTTTTTTTTTTTAAAATCTTTTATTAAATTTAAACCAAAAAACCAAATAATATTGAAATCAAAAAGCCGGACAGAAAGAGTGTGAGACCGCCTGAGACTGTTTGTGATATCCAAAATACTAAGTAAATTTTTTTTGTTTAAAATCAACCAAAACATCAAACATATATTTCAAAACCCATCTAAGTATGTTATAATAAAAAAAAAATAGTTATCATACTACAATCCCAAAATCATATAATGTCAAAAACATGTGAAGTTCTCCAAAATAGAACATATCATACATACTCATCATACTAACGTACCATACTAAAGAATGTAACAGGTATATATGTAACGCCCGTAGATTCGTGCTAGTCAATTAAGATATATTTAGTATTAAAAAATGATTTTTTTTTATAGAATATTATTTAGGATAAGTAACCTTAACCAAATTCATAGTGCATGTGACAAAGGTTCCGTGCAAGAACGATAAAACCTGGCTTCGTATGAAGAAGTTATGCTTCTTCGAAGTTGTGTGATTAAAAAGACATGACTTTGCGTATCGTAGAAAGTAAATTTTCGATAGATTACTTTTTAGCCTAAGTAATTTAAATGAAATTTCATAGTAGTCATTTAAATGAAATTTCATAGTAGTCGTAGAAAGTAAATTTTCGATAGATTACTTTTTACCATTTAAGCCATTTTTCTCTCATTTTTGACCTGCAGCGAAACCCCGCAACACCCCTGAGTACTCATCTGAGTAATAGCCTTCAAGTAGGAGATCTCGAGTCAGTATTCTGCCTGCTTAGATTCCAGTTTTCATCAAGAACCTCTTTAAGTTAAGCTACACTTAGTTCATGTTAAGTGTAACTTTTAATTATTGTCATAGTCATTATTATGAATCTATAATTAAGGTTTATCAGTAATTCTATGTTGCTATACTAATTGATCTACTTATGGAAGTGGTTTATAGGTTGGATTTAATGAGATGTTTAAAGTGGGATTTCCAAACAATATTAGTCTGTATACCAAATGGACACTACCTCCAACATGATCATACCTGGTTATTCCTTATTTAGATCTTGAAGTAGACTTTGGGATTCTTGAGGAATCTAAACCCTTATGATAATAGTTCCATGAAGTATGAAATTAGACTAAGATTTAACAATCTGAAATTTCTATATTGTAAAGCCAGTTAATTCAATCTAATGTCAGACTTGTTTTTGCTATCTTTTAGCCTTGTTAAGGGTCTGTTTGAGTGTTCTAAGCCAAGTACATTCAAGGATTGGGTGTTAGGAAAATTCTTCAAGAGCTCATTGTGAAGTATTCAAGCCGGAAAACTCCATTATGTGGAGTTTATGGCCGTAAACTAGGGTTCACGACCGTAAACCCTTGCTTGGCTGTGAACTAGCTCCTTAAGTATGATATTTCTTCACTTTTTCACCACTTTTCACAATTCCAACTCAACAACACTCATTTTTCTCTCAAGAATAATCAAGAACACTTCTAAATCCCAAAAAATTTGTAAGTGTTTCTTCCATTTGTTAGTTGATACCTTGCTTAATCTAGTGAAACACTACGATTTCATCCGTGAAATCATCTCTTTTTGGTTAGATCTTCAAGAACACCGAGAACACACACACTAGTTCTTTGGACCGTGAACACCCCTTCAAGCTTCAAAACGTAAGTGTCATTCCATATACTAGTTATCCTTTAGAAGCTCTTGACATACACCCTTGAAAACACCAGTTCCTCAAGAACAATAAGAGTTTATGTCCATAGCATCTACTTTGGACGTAAACCCCTATGAAGAATATCATTGGACGTGAACTTCGTTGACTGTAAACCCTCCTAATGATCATCTTTGGCCGTAAATTCCAATGGCCGTAAACTGTTGGATTAGTGTCTAAGTCCATAACTATTTTGGTATGTACTTGACCCGATGATGCATGGTCCTTTTGGGTTTCCTTCACCAAAGCAACTTGATTGGAGAAATAAATAAAGAGAGAGAGAGGTTATTATGATTTATTAATATGTTATAAGAATAATATATTAAAGGAGAAATCATATTTGTTTAATTAATATTGTTCAATAATTAATTAGGAATTAATTTTGTGATCAAGTGTAATTAATTAAACTAGAGGGGCTGATTTGTAATTATGTGATAGTTACAAAATAAGGTAAGGATTATCTTAAATATAGGGTGAACGAATTTAAGGAGATAATGCCTTAGAATTCGACTAGGATAAGGGTTTCTAAGACTTATCTTATGGTTACTTGGTAGGCAAGCAACTAGATAAGGATAAGGACTAAAACCCTAATATTTACACCAATATAAACCCCCTAAGGCTCATGAATTCGTCTAAGCCTTCCCAAGAAGTCCTAAGGACGAATTCCCACCTCTCTCATCTCTCTTTATACCTTGTCCATTTGCTCTTGGTGTTTGTAAGCCATTAGAGGAGTGACACTTGTGACTCTAAGCATTCCAAAGTCAATTCAAGGAGGAATTAGGATTGTTATTGCTACATAACAATCAAGGTAATATCTTAAACCTAATTATATGTTAATATCGATTTCCATATGCTAGAATTAGGGTTTATAGTCTTGGATTCAAAGCATGTACAATAGAGAAACCTAGATCCAAGCATTAGGGTTTGTATGAGCACATAGGATGTCTTATGGACAAAAACCCATCAGTGGTATCAGAGCCTAGGATGGTTTCAATTGTATTAATGCATTGTATATCTAAAAAATTCGATTTTTGGTGTTCTAGAGGCTGGACTCGCCGAGTCCATAGCTGAACTCGCCGAGTCCAGGGTGACCTGACGAGTCCAGGCTTGACTCGACGAGTCAACTCGTCAGATAGTGCTTATCTCGGGATTTCTTGCTGTTTTTGCATATGGATAGTTACCTTATCATGTTAGATCAATATTAATCCGATTATATGATATATTTGACTATATTTTTGATCTAATTGAAGATATTTATCAATTAATAAGATAATTGTTTCCTTATAAGATAATTGATTAATTATTTTGAGTAAATTGATAAATTGTTTTGCAAGAAATCATTAAACAAATCAAATATGTATAATTATGTAATTAAATGTTAGTTTAGATTATTTGTTATTTGATCCTTGTTGTTATGAAAAGTTTCATATTTTGCCCTTTAGGTTTTATAGTTTAAATTTGAACCCAAAAGTTTTGTTGTTTTGAAATTTAAATAATTGAAACCCTAATGTTTTTGAAATGTTTCAAAACTTGCCCTCAAGTTTTGGAATTTAAAAGTTGATTAAAAGTTAATTAGGAATGTTAAATTCTAAAACCCTAGTAATGTTTTGAAAAGTTCAAATACACCATTATGTTTTTATTAATTAATTAAGGAGTATAATTAAAAGAGACTTAATAAATCCATAAAAGTCTAGGTTAACCATTTAATTGAATTAAAAGTGTAATTGTTAAATTTAACCACCTAATATTTTAAAAGTGCAAAATGCACCCTATACTATATATAACATTAAAAGTCTAACATTATATATATGCATGAGTAAAAGTCAGTCTTACCGTTAGTAGGCCTCATTCACGAAGCTGGTCTATAAGGGGTGTTTAAGGAAATTGCCTATAAAATGGCGATTGAATGGGTATCCACTCTTACCCACCGCACTTTTAACTAGTGGAGGGTCGTTAGCCGAACGGGTAGGATAAGACGAAACCTTCCATTATAAGTATAATGAAATACAAAAGTAACTAAATGTTTTTACAAATTCCCAATCTTAGTTACTTAGGCAAAAGTGAATTGATGCAATTCCATGAAATTACACTTTGTGCCCTTGCGAAGACGTTAGTG